CGGCCGCCCGGCCTGGCGGGGCGATTCCTTTTGCCCTTCGAGTTGCAAGTCCTCGGGTCACGCTCCAAGGATTTTTCGTCACAGTGATGCAGCCGAGGGTCAGAGCCTTAAGAGACACACCCAATACCAAGAGGCTTGAAAAAAATTTAATGAGCCAGTAACACCGAACAACGAGGACTAATCTAAAAACCGTTCCCACATCCTACTTAAAATATTTACAATTTTTTTAACTGTATATACATTGTAGCCTTTGTCCCTTACAGTTTATTTATAATGAGTTCCTTAGGAATTATACCTGCTATATCTGGAAGATGAGCAGCACAGTATTCCTGCAGTAGCCATTGCTGGAAAACACTATATATACACGAGTTGCTAATAGCCACTGGGCACTGGTAGTCAAAGCCTGAGGCTACGCGTGTGCAACCCAACGCACAATGCGAACAGCGTGGTCAGCTAAGAAATTCCTCTGCCTCCGAAATATCCTGATGTGCAAGACAGCGGGGTAAGTATAGTACGCTGTGCAATTCACCCTATTTGAGGGGAAAAAAAAAAAAACAACCAAAAACAACCACAAACAACCACAACAAAACGAACCGTGCGCCTCTGTGCGGCAGTACAGGGAGTCTGTAATCCCAGGGACATCGACTTACATGGATCTGCACCTCCAAACATGCCATTCACCCAAAATTCCGTCGCTCCATTGAAGGTCTACAAACCCACATGAAGCAGCAATCCCCCTGGGAAGAGCAATTCACCAAGTAAAGCCCAATTTTATGACATCCCGGAATCACAGAACAGAACAGCACCTCTTGGGAAAGTTTCATGGTTCAAGTGAGAGAGACAAAGCAATACAACAAATAAAACTGGATTCATAGCTCTAAGCCCAGTTAGCAGAATGAGATCCTTTTCGGGCATTCCTTTATTTGGTATACCTTTACTTTCTATATTCTGAAGCAGAGCTGCTTATCTGTGTCAAAGTGGGGCAGTACTACTTTTCACTGATATTTTATGCACTTTCTGAACTCCCTTCCACTACTTCATTTCCCCTTTCCGGAAAGAAACACGAGAAGTTCTCTGAAAAGCATTTCTGCCAGAGAAATTGCAGAGTCAGCAACCAAGCTCAAAGCAATTTAAATACACTGGATAGGAAAGTCACAGACAAACGGACAGGCAAACAGGTAAACCTGAGAACGCAAGTGAAAAACTACTGGGCAAGTATTTAGTGTCAGACCAATCGAATACTTACTCAATGGCTTTACAGGATGAATAGAGAAAAAGCTAATTAAATTAATCTGATTTACTAGAAAATATTAAGCTTACAGATGATACAATGTCTGCATAATTTTAGAAAAATCATCAATTTCATGGTTTATTTTACAATAATTGGATTAGTCTACAAGTTAAGGCAAATATCCTAATGCATTTGCTTTTCTTTTTAAATCATAGTTATAAAGGTTACACAAAGTTCTCCAAAATTTCTAAGAAATGTTCACAATTGAAAAAAAGATTAAGTTTCCTGATATCAGTACATGGAAAAAAAAAAAGACTACGACAGTGTATACAATGACATTATAGTAACAATATTCAAATATCTAATGGTAATATTCAGGCCATTTGAACAATGTGCTTCAAATGGTGAACTTCAGAAATTACTTACAAAGGTAAATAAGATCAGCAGCCGTATCATAGTATTCATAACATGAACATAATTATATTGGCTATTTTCACAAAAACAGAGCATTTGGTTTCTGAACAATGAAAGCATATAATGATTAAATAAACATGAATATGTATGTATAACAAGTATGTTGTTGCTTCATATAGTCTGGAGCTACTTTCAGGTGTTTGTTTTATTTCTTTTGAAAGAAGGAGCTTGCTTATGCCCGCTTTGTCAACTGTTTTCTCCAGGGAACTGTAAATGCCTATTTAAAGTCATGAAAACAAAATCCAGAGGAGGGCAGCCCTTGTTAGTGGGAGGACGGAGCGTAGCTTATGTGTCGCCATTTAACACTGCCAGGCAGCTCTGCAGCAGCTGTAAGTTACCCTGTAAAAATAAAGAAAAATATGACCACATTTCCTGACTTTCTTTTACGCTTGTGACAGAAAGATGCGTTTTAAACAGCAATGACACCACTGAAGGAGAACAGACAGTTATTAAGCTTATGTAAAAATATTATGTAAGTAACTTTCATCTTAAAGAGTTTTTTGAATGTAGGAGCATTGTGTCTTGGAACTAAACAGAGCCAACTTGAGATTCAAAAATAAGCATTTAGTACCCTTTCCATGTTTCTTCGCAAGTTTCTTACTGAAGACCTAGTCTGGCCGCAAAAACCACCCACTGCAGAGCCCTCTCTTAGCAATGAAGTTCAAAGTTACAAAGTTTTCATTTTTTACAGAGTATTGTCATTACCCTATCACTGCAATATTATTCCCAAAGCAGAAGCATTCATATATTATACTGAATACCGAATTCATCAAGGGTTAACCAATGCACAGCACTCAGTATCTCCTCCCTATAGCAGCCATCCAAGCTGCTGGCTCTGTTCAATGGCGGGCCTCGTTTGAAAGACAGACTGATTTACACACTTAGCCAGGTGATTTAGCCATCAAAGTTGAGTTTAGCCATTAGAGCCGGCTACAGAAGTGATAATCAGAACATTAACTAAGCTTTATCTCTAAGGCCAAGTTTTGCCCTTCTTTTCAAACACCTCAGGTCAGTTTTTAATCCTATTTAAAGCATTCTGACTCTACCATAAAACCATATAGGTTGACTTTCAGATTTCTGAATGAATTTACAGAACTGACACTTAAAAGGATACCCTTGTGAATTGAGCAAATCTGATCGACAAGTAAGCCAGGATGTACTTTCCAGAAAAAAAAAACCCACAAACAAAACAAAACAACAACAACAAAAAAAACAACTCTGGTATTCACAGTATTCACATTGTTTTGTGCATTCATTTATGCTTACATCACTTTAAACTCCTGGCTATGCACTACTAAATAGCTGTATTAGATTTGTTCTCAAATCTGAAATCTCTGTGTAAGAAACACTACTACGTTGTTCACAGTGTTAAAGAGTAATTCCTATCAGGTTCAGGTAAAATGCAAGTACAAAACAGTCTGAATGCCCAGTTATAAACACGGGAGAAACTGCTTCCTTCTAAAAATTTTTTTGATCCAAAAAGAAACCTGTAAAGAAAACTTCAAACAAACAAAAGCATGTAATTAACCAGTATCAACAGCTGTGAGTTGCATGTCCTTGATGAATAGTCCACACAAATACTAAACAATTTGTAATTCTTAATTTTTCAGTTGAAAGCATTCCAAGTGACCTGTGGTAGACAGGCAGAAGGACACTTGTGCCTCAGTCCAAAAAGGTAAGAAATCATAAGAGATCCCACCTGGAATACTGCATTCAGCTCTGAAGTCCCCAAAACAAGAAGGACATGGAGCTGCTGGAGCAAGTCCAGAGGAGGGCCAGGAAGATGATCTGAGAGCTGGAACACTTCTGCTATGAAGACAGGCTGAGAGAGTTGGGACTGTTCAGCCTGGAGAAGAGAAGGCTCCCGGGTGATCTTATTGCAGCCTTCCAGTACCTGAAGGGGGCCTACAGGAAAGCTGGAGAGGGACTATTTACAAGGGCATGTAGTGACAGGACAAGGGGCAATGGCTTTAAACTGAAAGAGGGCAGATTTAGATTAGATCTAAGGAAGAAATTTTTCGCTCTGAGGGTGGTGAGGCACTGGAACAGGTTGCCAAGAGAGGTTGTGGATGCCCCATCCCTGGAAGTTTTCAAGGCAAGGTTGGATGAGGCTTTGGGCAACCTGGTGCAGTGGAGGGTGTCCCTGCCCATGGTAAGGCGGTTGGAACTAGATGATCTTTGAGGTCCCTTCCAACCCAAACCATTCTATGATTCATTCATAAGTCTATCCCCCATTAAGGTTCTAATAATCCAGACTAAGGAATTAACTAAATTCAAGGCTTTCACATAAAAGATTCCCAGTTGTGACTACTGGATCCTTTTCGGTCTTCTCCAAAGGACAGCAATTTCAGTTATGGCTTCAACAGCTTTTTGTCCTTTTATGCTTACACTGGCAGAGGACAGTCACAAGCCTGAGGCCTGTAATTCTGTGATAGGAACAAATTCAATATACGTGAGGTGCATGGGGACTTGGTGGCCCATCTTCATAGTGTACAGGATTCGTAAATCTAAGGTCTCTGTTTGAACAGCTGATTATTGGCCACAATGACGTAATGAATGAAAAGGAATACTTCAGTCTGAAGCATAATTGTGGACTGCATGCATGTTACCTACAACAAAAGTGTGACAGTGATCTTTTGGCCATCTCTTTACATCCCATCAGCAGAATGAAGTATATTTGCAATTCACAGGCCACTATGTAGCACTCTAAAGAAAAGAAGGTACCAAGATGGCCTTTGTACATCAGTCATTTCCAGACTCAGCCAGCCAGTCTACTGAAATTTTCCAAATAGGCAATCATTCATTTTCATTAGATTAAATTTTCAAAGTTTAGGAGAACCACCTTATTTAAATTACAACAAATCAAGGACAATCAAGGCTGTGAGCCATTTTTCTTTCCGGCTGCAACATCTGACATACTTGATCTACATCAGCATAGCTCGAGAAAGTCATAGAATTATAGAATAGTTTGGGTTGGAAAGGTCCTTTAAAGGTCATCTAGTCCAACCACTCCTATAAATTGAGATTCAGAAAAGTGTTTCTTGCCAACTCAGATTCCTAAGCTCTAGATATTACAGCTGTTGGCAAAACCACAGTGACAGAAACATCCTTTTCAGGAAAGAAAAAAATCACTGACAAAGCATTTAACCAAATCCCTTAGCACTGGATTTTCCTTATTCCCTTCTTCTGTCAGTTCCAAACAGACATCTGTTGCTAGCAATGCAATAAATTCTTTTTCCGCAAAAACTCATAGCGGGAAGAGCATATATATTAGTATGTGTGGAAAGAGATGTTTGGATTTTTTTTTTTATTTGAAGGAAGTGGCTATCTTACTCAGCTACAATTCATTTATCAAAAGACTCTAGAAGTATAGCCAAAGCTATACATGCTTTGAAGCATATGATTATAATGTTAGCAGTTTCACCAACTATCAGACCTCCCTTCTTGAACATGAAGTCCAACACAGGAACACCTCAAAATCCAACTGTTTAAAATACTGAGTAGGTTTAAATGCAGCTTGTGCACTAAATGCCCAAACACTTAAGGGTCTTACATTAGCTGCAGCTGCATGAAGTCATGAAGAAAACAAAGCTAGGAAAACAGAAGCTAAACACTACCTAGAGGGATAGTCAGACAGACTGACCATAGAAAAAGAAACATTGATCCATTTAGTATAGATCAGGGACCAAGCAGAATCTAAACCTGCAGTTTGGCAGCTATTTTAAGTAAATCTAGGGTACATGCTGCTGATAAGAAAGCAGCGCTCTCTTATTCACAGCCCCTCCCAGCCAAAACTGTGTGTTTTTACACAAGGGATGCTGTGAAAACAAGGCTGAAAGTAAAACTTAGAAAAACCTAGAGCAACTTTTAGCTCCATCGTACTATGCAGCTGCACACATAATAGTGCCAACATAAAGCAACGGAACAGAGTCATGCATCGTTATCCTCCCTGGCAGTAGTCTGCACTTGCATCAACTTAAAGCAAACTGAACCAACAGTCTGATTTTTACGTTTTTCAAAAGTCTTCAGCTGCAAACAGGAAAGGATAAAAGGATACAGGCAGATTAAAGCAAGTATTTTATAAGGAAGTAGTATAAACATAACTGGTATAGAGGATGCACCTAGTATTTGTATATACAGTGTCGTTGAATTACTGAAAGCTCTATTTCTCTATTACCCTCCAGTCTTCTAAAGCCACACAGTCAGATACAGCTCAGGAAATGCAAGCTGTCTCTCAGAACCTTCTCTTGATACTTTGGTCATTCTGACTTCTTCAGTGCAGTGATCTCCGTGGTTTAGGATTTGTGGTTTTCTTGCCACAGAGAGCAAAACTTTTAACAGTAAGTCATGCAGCAGCCTTCCCTGTGGCTGAATTCCTCCCAAAGATAGCCTCTCAGGTAAGTTCCAGCACCCACTGCTGCATCAGATTTCACCTCCATGCTTTCTGTGCCAGGTAACTCCAAGTCCAGAAGACATATGGCTAGAACGATTCAGAGACAGACGCATCTGCATGGCATCTAGTCTGGAGGTACTTGTTCCAGAAAAAAAAAACAAACCACAAAACCAAAGAAGACAACTTGTAGCAAAAGCCTGCAGCAGTGTAATCTGTTGTCTCCAGTACCTGCTCCTCAGTTAGCTTTTTTCCTGGAAAGAGCACTTAGACCTGAGTAACAGGTCATGTTGCAAAGTTTGGGAGTGCCATGCTCCACATGCCATGGACAAGCCAAGTAATTTACCATTTAGGGGTGCTAAAACTTCACCTGCCTGCAGTAGCTGCAAAAGCCTGAAGACAGGGACTGCCACAGCATCAGGCAAAGTATTTTGTCCAGAACCTTAAAGCAGGAGACTTTCGATCTGACTTCATTAATTTATTGCCTAGATGAAAAAGTAGCTTTCTTTTTGCTACTATCAGCCCTCTTTTGGCGCTACTGCCAAGAGGAATTTAGGATCTACAAACACCCCAGCTTAGCCCAGCCAAACCCAGGGCTACTTAGCCTCCCTTGTTCATGATTTGCGTTGCAACAAGTATAAAAATGTCCCCTCTGGGACAAGGAGAAACCTTCATATTCCCCTAACATTGTTCTTCACACATCAGGGCACAATGCTATCTCAAAAAAACCCCAAGTCTTTTCATATCTTCTTTCTTTCTTTTATGAACTACATCAGAAGGTCTCCACCAAACTATTTCATCCTTCAATACTCTGTACAGACTAAAATCTATCTGTAAGACTATCCTCAAATACGCTGGTTATAGCATTAATAAGAAAATTTCCCATTATATCATCTATTGCACTTGTAAATTCTATAATAATCTTACTGAGAATCTGCAGAAATAGAAGCACAGCAAGCAAACCAATTCATCTGCAGTAGCTTGTTTTGAATAAATACCAAACACAGGCTTTGAAAAACACAGAACTTTCAAATCTAGTGAGAAACAAAATATCCTTTCATTCAACAAGTCACAACATTTGTTAACATTTCCAGAACTGTCCCCCTTAGTCAAAATGACTTATTGTATTGCAAAGCTTTAAGTATTCAAAACTGTCTAGTGACTCTTACAGTGGTCCATGATAAAGTAGGTGCAAAAGGTCAGTAAAAAAAAAAGTTCACCTTCAAAAACAGGACTACAGTTCAAAGCTTCTACAATAGCCTTATATACTCCTTGTCAGTAAATTTACTAAGGCAAGGCAAATCACAGACTGAAACAGACTATCTGAAGAACTACATCTTAAATGCAAGCTGTGGTGACAAAGGAAGAACAGCTGAAAAAAAATTCACAATCTTCAAGTAAACTGAGGACACTAAGAAGCACACACCAAGTAAGCTGAAAGCTACAGAAATTAAGCATTTCCCCCCTGCCTTTTACAGTTATTAGCTGTCAAAATTCAAGAGAACATTACTACAAGATTTTGACTTGCATAGAGAGTTAATACAAGTGATTCTTCAAGGATGCTTCAGGAGAAAGAGAGCTTTTTTAAGCATTCCACTCCAAGGCATTCGAGGACTACAGCAAGGGTCAGTTACAAAAGATAATGAAGAGTCAATGACTGAAGCAGGATGAAAGCACTGTCGATTCATTCCCTTATTAAAGCACGATATGGCAAATGAATAAAAACTGTTTCAAGTATGACTGTTAGGACTACTAATTTCAGTAAAACTCATAACCAGTACATTAATGACCAAACATTGGGATTTCTGGGAGACTCAGGGCTGGATATAGGCAGCTGCTACACACAGAGAAGCAGGAAGGCTGAATAGTACCAAGTACTATAAGAAGTTTTAAGACTTCAGGGGAAATATAGCTGAATTTCTGATACAGCATATTAAAGGAAGCACTGTTCATCTGAAAAAGGAGTCGAGTATTCCAGACCTTACTGATTACTTTACCAGCTAAACATCCCATCAAGTTGAACTTACACCTACAAAGACTAAAATAAAAAAAGTCCCCAAAACAATCCTTTTTAGAGCGCACTAGTTTTACAAACAACACATTCATCAGAATGAAGAATGACACTGTCAAGGCTACTGAAAAGAGTGTAAAGCATCAACAAGTTAACTCAGCAACACTATACACCTCTTCCTAACTAGTCCTTTCAACAAATATATTCCGAGTTAATTCAAAGCTGGTTAGTACACACAGTTTCAGATTTGCAATGAGAACAAGAAATGCTAAAGAGCTGACTTTTGAAAGAAAGCTGCCTACTGCTATAGGAAGTGCTAAAGTAAGAGACTGCTATACTTGCCTATGAAATCAGAGCAGCTAACTTGATTTAAGCAAAAGCATGAATTTCATATGGATTGAAAGAATCAAATACATTGTGAAATTTAAGGACAGTACAGGCCCCTTAAAGTTCTTTTCCTGCAAAATTTATTTTAGTGAAAAGACTATCTGCGACTTTTGTTAGCACTTAATAGCTTAAAGGTAAAGAGCTTCAAAGAGCATAGTCAGAGTAACACTGATCTGACTTCAGACAGGCCTGCGTGAGCTTATGCTTAATAGTTAAGTCTATCCTATAGGTTAAGTCCCCAACATCTGGATAACATGAGAAACCACTTCCTATCTCTCAGTAAAATGCTGAGACGAGGTTTTAAAAATAGGCAGGTATTCAAACTCTGCAGCTATAAATATCAAACAGCTAGAGAAACATAAAACCGAAGCCAAAATTGTCTTCAAAGAGATGTTTTCCAAAGACACCTCAAGCATACCAGTCCCTTGGAGACATTTCACCTATACTTTTTTTTTCTTCCCTATTATTCAAGGAAGTTCACCTTCCTGGATGATGCTTACCTTCAAATTGCCCTTCATGAATGTGAAGTGTGTATCACACAACATGTTACCGAAAATCCGGAATAAGAAACTTATCAACACCAATGGGATGTAGATAAGCAGACACTTCTTTATTGCGGCGCCGGGTGCACGGGGGATATCTCCTCCTAGAGTGCACACCTTGCACCAAAATTAAACTTCTTATATAGAGCTTACACATGCATAAACAAATTATTTCCCGAAAATCATTAGCATATTCTTCCCCTATTTCCGATTCTGCGCAATAAAATTTAGAATCATCTGGAAATGAGTCTGGGGTATAGTATGGGTAGGTGGTCTATGAGTCGGTGGTCGCGATCTCCCCCTGCCGGAATTACATTTTGCTTAAATTCAGTTTCTGGTAATTACCTCATGGTTTCTTGGCAAGTACCCATAACTCGTTAAGGCTGGCCTTCTTCATTCTCATTAACCCAAACCTTGATAGCTACATGCATTCTTCTAGTTCTATGTAAGTATCATAAATCAATTGGTAGGTCAACTTGTACTTGTTATCTAATTTCTACATGATTCTAACTTATCCCTTTGGTCTTGATACAGGATTATACAAAGACTTTCATAGCAGCATCTGGTTACTGTATGAGCATACTTTTCATTGAAATATTTCTTATAGCTTTATATTATTAAAATCAATTGCAACCTATATTAATTACAAACTATTGATTAAATTCTAATTACTAAAATTCTAAGTATCAGTAACAAACACACGTAGCCATTTTGGTTATTCAAGCATATAGCAGTGAAAATGGAGGCCAAAAAGGATCACAATTACCTTAGCATGCTTTAATTCCAGTTCTGCTAGTTCCACCAGATTTTTTCTGAATGCTGCAACTCTTCTTGTCTTAAAGTCTATCAGTTCTATAGAAAATAAAAATGAATTCATTAAAAGTATTATTGCTCGTGGCCTCAAATGTTAACAGACTTTCCTTCAAGATAGAAGAGGTAAAGGGTAAGGGAAAGCAACAGGGAAAAACTCAAGTCTAATCTCAGCACATTCTGGGCTCAAAGATGCTGCTACACTGTTGGATGAAAGCAAACAATAATTGCAGTTCTTCGTCTCTAGCTAACCTTTTGTGGACACAAAGTTCTTTTGAAAAAAGACTGCAATGTGGATGCTTTTAAACATTTAATTGTCTTATTCCATGTGCACTATTCTTTCAAGGCTGATATATAAAAGTATCCAGGGAAGATACTAAGCTAAAACTAGCATGAAAACCAAGAGGAAGCAAGTATGCTTTATGGATATACCTTTGTGGCTAACAGCATCACTCACTTCCACTGTCTCATTTGTAGGAATCATTAGCCAGATTTATAGGGTCAAACAACTCTTAAGCGATAAACACAGAAAAGCATGGTGTTTAAACCTTGAACAAATCTGACCCAAATAATGAATCAGATGACTACTAACTCACAATAATCTTAGCCTAAAAAAAAGAGACATTAAGTTTCCAGGAAAAAGGCAACATGTAAATAAGGTTCCTTTTCTCTAGAGCTACTGTAGCACTGCAACTTCAGTGAAATCTCATTCAAGATCTTTCCCTTTTCTAATGTAGCATCATCTCTGCAGCAGACTGCTTCTTTCACAGTACAATGCATAAAACCAAAAGGGGAATTTCAACAACAGTGTAAAAGACAAGCTTTTCCTTTACTGCTAGAAATTATCATTTTGTATCCCATCCTATTCATATAAAACAAGTGGTTAACAAATAATTTAATAACACTTAGATCTTGCTCTGCCTAATGGAGCTATGAGGAGTCAAAGGAAAATATTATTTGAATTTTCTAAAATAAGTTAATACTGATTAAAAGATAATAGTTCAGCTCAGGAAGCAGAACAAACATCTATTCTCATTAGTAATATCCTAAAATATATTAATTTTCAAGTAGCACCATAGAACCAAAGACCATCCAACTACCTTGTTTTGCTGATTCAGATATTTTCTCAAATTTCTGACAGCATATTTGCTGAGTAGTTTCAGCTTGCAGCACATCTTTGTTTTTTGCTCTTGCTTTATCCAATGCCTTATTAGCATTTTCATAATCCACTAGTGACCTAGATCTTCTATATAGGAGATCCTATTAAAAAAAAACAAACCAAAACATAAAAGATGTATAGAATTCACAAGAATCTACCCAAGAATTTTAGTATATACCAAGTAATAAAAAAAACACATTAATTATAGTATTTCTTGCCGTATTTCAGTTCTTACTAAACTATTTGCACTCGTTTTACTTCATCCTGCAAGTCTGTACTGGATCAGACACACGATTTATTATTGTTTGGTCTGCATCTTGTCTGACAAAGGCGAGCAACAGATGGCTTAGATGATACTCCAAAAAGCCTAAGAAAGGGCAATCATGGGAAACTTCACAGCTTCTTAGATCAGAAACAAACTATATTTAGATGATGTATTTGAAATACACACAGGGCCCAAGAAAACAGCATTAGTATTTTCTGTGCAACAGTTATTGCTGTGATCTTCTAACTACAGACATTTTCTGTCAAATGCTTCGTCACTCTGTCATGTTACTTAATCATCTTACATCAAACAACACTAAAAATGAAATTTTCTGTAGGTATAGAATATCAAATTTAGCCCATGTGTTATTGTATCAGCACTTGCAGATCATCTGGAGTATCCATTTTGAATGTTAAAAAAAAAGTAGAATTGCTTGCAATCTACAAGCAGCAAACATACTGCAAACACAACAATCCACCAACAGTTCTTCCACCATTTTTAATTATCAAAGCCAAATTGTACAGTATAAGTGCATCACACAGTTTCAAATAGTCAGCCCCACAGTCAGCAACTGCATTGTTATTTCTAATATACAACAGATATCCAGTTTTTGTAGCCAAGGGAAAAATTGCAGGCTAGAGGTGGCAGCATTTTAACCTATCTACTGTGTTATTTCTCAGGATGATCCCTTATCTCTCTTTCACTGAATAAAAAAACCCCATAAATTCACCTTAGCAGCTTGAGATTCCCTTAGGTAATATTTCAGAAGATCAGAAAGTTTAAGATCTTCATCAGCAGATACCCGGGCCTCTATTTTCTGGAGAAACAGGTAAAAGCATCAATTTAAAAACATCCAGACTTTGGGTATTTACTTGTATGATGTCAATACAACATAAAATATACAACACTACATGACAGATTTTCTTTTTCAAAAACCAAGATCATGCATTTGTAACAGAATACTTAAAGATGCATCATGAGAAGCACTATTAGGATTCTGTATTAAAATGTAAGCAATAACCAAATGCGCAAGTAGTAACGTGACAACAAGCTTTCTATTTTAAACGATGCTTTCTTCCTAATTCAATTATATGTACCATATAGTAGGAAAACAGCAGAGAAACAAAAACTCATCTAGTATGAAGAGTTGCACAGGAAGTTTCATGTTGTTTTTGAGATTGAAGGAAAACAAATTTTTCAGGCACCTTTGCAGACTAGTTGTGTGACTGCATGTATCAAATGGTCCAAAAGCCCAATGAGCTTACTTGCTTGTATTGGAAACAGACAGTTCTGTGAATTTAGACACAGAGTCTGCAAGTGCATTTTTAAAATTTTAATTTAAAAAAAAAAATAATCAGAAAGGCAATATTTGAGGTCAAAAGTAAGTAATTCCACTGCATTTTTAAAATTTTAATTTAAAAAAAAAATAATCAGAAAGGCAACATTTGAGGTCAAAAGTAAGTAATTCCATTAACTTCCTTTTCTGCAAAGTATTTATGCAGATATAACTGTGTTTAAAAAATGCACACATTTTTCATTCTAAACTTTCCCTGATACATGGCATGCATCTTCTGCTCTACCAAGCCAAACAAATATGGCAAAAGAGACAAGTATTTGAAAATCTGGTTAGGAGCATCAGCAATAGTATTTCTGAGACAAGTAATTGCAGAAACAGACCTTGGCTCTAGATAAAAGCTGCATGACCACCATTCTCTGGATTAAGGATTACATTTCTTCATTTCTTTTTTCGATAACAAGTTCTACGTTACCCAGGAACAAGCATGGAAGGCCTCTAAGCATTTTAGAGGAACAGCAGCTTTACTGGTGTATTACAGAGAAGACAGGAAGATTGCCTAGAAATGTTTAGTAGACTGAAGACTCCTAAGGATCAATCATTTTACAAAACAGATAACTGAAACCTTATGCTTTTTCATTCCCTACCACACATTGCTTAAATGCTTCATATAGAAGCATCCATAAAACATCCACATATTAATGTCTAGCTGACACAAGATATCCTGACACTTCCAGGATGTACACAAAGAATGTATCTAAAAAGGTTTCACAGTACATACCCTTGTTTTGTCAAATAACTCTGATACCTTCAGAAAAAACCTGCACAAAGGAAACAGCTTATATTACGACATTAATTTGAACAGTCTAATTACTTTCTAGAACTCAAAATATAATAATATTGTGTCTGGCAATAAAGACTGTAAAGGCACTGCTTAGAATTGTAATTCACAGAATCCAGAGAACGTAACGGTTTCAAATTGTAGCACTTCCAACAGCTGGGAATTGTACAACTTAAGAAAAGGTAAGGGACAAACAAAGCCTAACAGATGGATGGTTTTTACTAAAGAATAATTGCAGAGCTCCTCAGGGATTCTTTATGCTTCTGTGAATTAAACCCCAAACACCACCACCCTGGTTAACAGTCCTACGCAATTATCAAGCGTCCTTCACTCAGATTTGAATGTACTTTTCTTCACACAGTAAACATGACGCATGTCCTACTTTGAATCCAGGGAGGCTGAGCAACAACGTGGCACATCTTCATCACAGGAGACAATACAAGGGTTCAGTATAAGAGAAGACTGAATTACAGTCAAATCATACTATTTTGACAGAAGACAGGTGCGATTCATGACAGACTACATCAAACCTTAATACTATAATCAAAGTAACTGATATGTAAGGTATCATCACATTTCGAAGTATATCACTGTAATTCAGGTAAATTAATAAATTAACTTTCATACTCGTCTCCTACCTGTCATCGCGCTAACTCTAAGCATACATGTTCACAAGCATCGACATCTTTAAGCTACTTAATGAGGTTTTACTTTCAGATACACCAAACTTCATATTCAAGCAAATCACTGACAGATAAAAGGAAAAACATCTGCACATAGATACCCTCTTCTATTTTCAGACTTTTAGGGTTCTCCGTAGATTTCTCTCTTTTCCTAAAGGCAGTAAAATTGCCAAAAAAGCAAAGCAATTTTTCAAGATGTTGGTACAGGGAACATCCACAAAAAATCAGTATACTCAGACTGAGACCTGTTCTTGCTGCCCATGTCAAAGCACTTAAAATACTTTAAAAACAACTGGTGAAAGAGTTGGTGGTTTTTTTTCATATTCTATGCAGACTTTTCCATCTCACGCGTAATTTTCTACAACCTGCAGAAACCAGCATTGTTTTCCAAATATTAAAGCAAAAATATTAAAGCAGCCTGTTACAGAAATGAAATACTAAAGAAGAAAATCTCTTCATGTGATGTAACTACCTAAATTCTGGTTTTCTCGTAACAAGAGAGCTACCCATCTCAGCAGGTCACCATTAAGACTGTTCCTTAGCAAATTCTCCTGTGAGTTATTAACAATATCTTACTTGCATATATCTGTGGAGTCCTGCGTTCCTAATGCATATAATGAAGAACCAATTCTATTATAGTCATCCGCCACATCTAGAAAAACAAACAAGCACTTGTTTTACTATTTCGTTCCTCTTCTTTCTGAAAATTTTGAAGTTCCTCTCTTTCTTCAAGAGTAGGTGTTTTTCTGAAAGGAACATGCTTTAACATAAAAGCAGAAACAAGATTTCAATCATGTCACTTATTATGAAGGATAACTTCACACAATAAACAGGGCATTCTCACCAAATCATGAAATCTGTAATTTATCTAGGAATATTTAATACAATTAGCACCTGCTGGGTAAATTTATTGTGCAGCTTTGTTAGGTATTATTTTGGTGGAAGATGTACAAACTCAATGGCTAAAGTCTGAATTGAAACCTGAATCTAAAGTGTAAAGCTATTTAAAAAATAAAAATAAAAAAAATTCACAGTCTAACAGTAACAAAGAGTAAGTCTGTGTGCTTGAGAGCAGTAAATCGAATACAAACTCCAAACTACCAAAATACAGTGCTATATGCACACCACCTTTCCTAGTGCACATCTAATTTTCAGGAAACCCTTACCTCCAACCTCAGTGGTCACTCGTTGAAGTAGCATTAGTGTTAAAGCATTTTACACAAGGAAATTAGAAGTAAGGTTTGTAAAGAAGGCTGCATAATTTGACAAGTGAGGTATTGCTATATAGTAAGCATAAAAATCAAATCTTTGCACAGATGGCTTTTTTAAAAAGCTTTTAGTATAAACTCAATAGATGATGAAAACACCACAGATCCAAGCGATGAACAGGAAAATATATTTGCTTGTTATTTTTGAAGTTTTTATGACTCGAAGCAGAATTTTTAAGTGGATTTTTTAAAGTAACACAACCTTGTTTTAACAGATTGAGCGGGTCACTTTCCACCCAATTCATTACTCCATACAGCCCAAGGGAATCAGTGCAGTTAGTTACAGTAAAGAATGGTATTAGGAAGCCATTAACCTCCCCTTCTATCTCTCCCATTTAAATGTAAAAATAGATTTTCTGCTGGAAATAGAACGTCAAATCTTTGCAAGCCCTGCAGCTCTCTGTCAGTCCTAAGTTATCCATAAACTACAGATTGCCCATTTCCAAAACAGGCTTCCCAGGTCATTGCTCTACTCCTCTACCCAGAATTTCAAAAGGTGCCATTTGTCCCAATTCACAATTTGATAGAAGTTGTCAATAAACATCCTAGGTGACTGGAGCCTGAAAACCAGTGAAGCTTTGTCACAAATTTGATCAGTTCCAATCAGATCCTCTATAACCTAATTTCTAACAATTTTCCTGGTTCTACAACCAACATGAAAGGCTTTTTAACTACTTAAAGTTTGGCACCTAACTACCATGAAAGAAGAACAGTTTTCATTTTAAGAAAGCAAATAAAACACCAGAAACCACTTCAGGTGGGAACTGAATGAAGACACAGGGTCCCTTAGTACCTCATTAAGCCGCAACTGACTCTCCCTCATCTTCTAGCATAGATACTAAAGGTCCAAAAGACTCAGTTTCGAGTCCTTAACCAATGGAGATTCACAAAAGGTTTGTGGCCTTGTTTTGCGTCAACTGTGTTACTGTAGATAGCAAAGGCAGAATCTGTGAATCTGACACAAGCTTCAAGAAAGCAGATAGAACCTAGTACTTCAATTTTGACTTATCTAGGCACAAAAATTTAAAGTCAAGGGCAATAAAGGTCAACTTTTTTCCGAGCTTCCCAAAACACAATAATCCTAAAGCAAGCAGTAGTCCTAAACCAAAGATCTTCCATTTTCTCAAAAAATGCACTGTACTTAAGAAGACTATATAGAGCTTCCAGAAATCATATTAGCTAGCACTTAGCTCAGGAAGAGAAATCAATAGCTAAGTGGAAAGTCGCCTCAGTAAGAAGAGGCATCTTGCAAATCAAGCTACTGAATGTACACATTCCAGTCTCCATTCTAAAAGGCTGAAAAATGGAAACCTTACTTCCCAGTCTAGAACTACTGGCCCAAATAGGAGTTTGCTGCTCAGCAATGTAATGCAATGCCTAGTGTGCCAAGAAATTGCACTCTGATGAATGCAAGCTCATCCAATCAAGAGAAACTTCATTAGGAGTAAAATCACATACACTGCTATATTACCCACCTTTACACTTTGAAGATTAAGAATCAGACTTCAAAAAAAATATTATTACATAAAGTGTGTTGCTCTTCAAAGGGACAGCATGAAGAATCAAGATATTTTCAGTGTCACATTAGGCTGTTCTTACTCCCTCTAGTCTATTACAGGAAAGGTTGAACTTTGAAAGCCAGATTACACTTTAGACTATCTGAAGACTACACTTGGAGAAATTAACTTTTTGCATGCAAAATGAAAACTAAAAATTACTGCTCCTCACAAACCACCTCTGTGAACTTTAACTAGTACTATTTTCACCCTGGAAAAAGAACTCACTTTTATGTGATCTTGTCATTTTATCCGATTTGGCAGAGGCATCTTTGACTCGGTTGTGATATTCTACAAGGAATGTTCTTTCATGTTCAAAGAAGTCATCCACATCCTACAAAAAAACAAGCACCATTTAAAAACCAAGATTTCACTCACTCTGTACAGAGAGATTGCAGAGTAAATTTGCATGTATTGCTGTTGCTGTGACATGAAATCCAATCTATTTTTATTGTCAAAAACACCATTTATGTAAACTGATTTCTTTTTCACTTATTTTATCATGATCTGAAGTTTTATTAAGAATTAAGAATTTGTAACAAGTATCTTTAAGATCTAGATAACTAAACCTGAAGTGAAGGAAAATTTCACTACTAACTACCACTTTGGTGACGGAAAAACAGAATAATTGTCAAGTACTTAATAAAAGGACACCTATCTAGAAGAAGGGGAAGGGGGAAGAAAGACACTCAGTTGCACAAATGTGGCAGTCATAGCAGAGACGATATGAACTCCTAGCTCAGGAACACTGATCTTGACCACAGATTTCTTTCAAGTTGGTAAATGTAGGTAAATTTTAATATTTTCTGTATTACAATCTGAGATATTTGGTTTATATTTATTTTTAAAAACCCTCTAAGATAGCACAGATACTCAGTACCATGGAATAGCCTACAACATGGGCTTTGAACAATGTGCTTATGAAAACTGTTGGTTATTTAGACTTCATAGTTTTCTCCCAGTCATGGTTATATCCACTTTCCAGCAGATGCAAAACTCAAGATTTTACAACTAGGAACTTTAGCTTCTCTAATTTGCTTGCAAATGGAAGGTTACCACTAAAAAGAAGGGAGATTAAAATAATATTTTGCGGAATTTATGCTTGTTATAAAACCAATCTCAACTTTTGGAAAAGTCAAAATGAAACTGAATTTTCATTAACTTTTTTTTTTTTTGTCTCAGTTACATTCTTGCATCTACTGGGAAAAATAGCATTACCTCTACTGCTGCTCTTAGCTTTGAAACAGTAGAAGGATGTTATAAGGCTCGTAAAATTCACACTGTGTTAGTAACTTCTGAGCTGCAGTAGTTGTCAAAACTAGTGCACCTACCCACTATATAAAATGACAGGCCAGAACAAAAACCAGATTATCAATCTTCTATGGATTAAAAAAATGCTTAATTTCCTAAAACAGGAGAAAGTGTACTGAAAGCCCTCTTTCACAGGAGCAATCACATAGCTCTCAGTTATCTGGCATCCAGCGCCACAGGTTCCTTCCCATTCTCTACCTCTAATTCTTAAGTTAGACATCACTACAAAAATACCTTTTTTGTAGCTATGTAAAATTCTACTTCATTAAAAAGAAGACAACAATGTTAATACATTTAAAAACCTGATATATTAAGCAATAATCACCTTTACTCCTGAAACAATGACACCATCTGCTGATTTAACCATATTTTTAAAGAAGTCTTCAAGTTTCTCTTTCTTATTTTTCCCACGAACACTCAACTGAAAAACAAATGCATTTATCAAGTTAGTTCATTTTCTGCAGGCAATAAAAGCTTTAAAAAAAAAAACAACACAAACAAAAACTACATACCACAACTTGCTACTCCTAAACCAGTTGTCCTGCTCTCTGCTTAGTCTTATACTCTACATTAATAGGGACAGGGCTCCACGCACCCAGAATGACAGACTATGTCATTTACTAGACTACTAGACTGTTCTTTATCACCTAAAATACTCTTTCAGAAAAAAAAAATAATCAGCAACATTCTAGCATCTACAGATGATATCAAATGTATCATGTGTACATTTCAGTTATCAATAATACGGTATTTATCATGCACAGTATTGCTGTTGAGTTAACCCAATATAACCAGGTTTTCCTCTTTTAAGTGCAGAATGGCAGGTCTTGGACTTTCAGAAACTACAGAAGCATTTACCCCTCACTGCACTGAGGACAATGTTGGTTTCAGACCCTCACACTCTTCCTGTCCATCCAAATTTGCCCAATTTAGGTAAACTGAGTCCTGAACCAGTAAACATTTCTACATCAAGCAACAAGAGGATCCTCTGAAACATATTTGGAAGTTAAGCATGTATTCAGTTGAGCCAATCTTTGTAATGATTTCTTCAACATTCAATGGTGATTTCTGCAATTTTAAAAAGCAACTAAGAACTGAAGAATATGAGCAACCACTAACTCCAACACCAAAGAGTTATTATGAATCCAGAAAGTCCTCTCCATCAACTTAAACTTAGATAGCAATTCAGTATGTAACATGTGGACAGCCACACTAGTCCAATATTTAGAAAAAAATTAACCCAATTTTCACCTACATTATTAACAATAAGTCTTTGCTTACGAGAACATTTCATTAGAAATCCTCTCTAGTTTTGTTAGCAACAGAATTTAAACCACAATTCCAAATCCTAAAAACTAGCGTTCTGTCTTTGTTGCACCATCCTTCCTCCCGCCCAAAAAAGAAAAAAGAAATTAGTCAAAGAGTGGACAAGCATAACGTCATGTGAAATCACCACCAAAAGCTAATCTTGTTAATCCAAAACATATTGGATTCCCATTAATATTTCTAACGTTGAGGCTAAAGCACATAGTGCGTTTGGTTCCCCAGGTGGCAGCAAAAATGAACTCCTACACACTAAATGAATTTCTGACTTTTACAATACAAATATGTGAGGTATGAAGGAATTGATGCAATTTGCTCCAGGAGGTAAAGCCCTCTGAATCAATTTTCCATCCTACCATAAAAGTACATCTTGATTTGTCTTGCCAGCAATTCAGTTTTCAATACTCACATCCTGATTATATTCCAAGAATACATGGAAATTTAAATCCTTTCTCAAGATAGGATGTGCTGCCACGCGACACAAAAACACTTCATGCATTGCAACTGTCTTCTTGAATATTGCCAAATATTCACTGAAAACAAGAAACCAGACAGACATAAGAATTTCACACGAAGCAATTAAGTTTGAGATAAGCTTAGTGAGCAGCTTTAAGAGATCCTCAGTAAAGACACAAAATTATAAGCTGATACAGTAGAGGTGATCACTCTGATATTTGAGACATACATAAATAGTACAATGTTAATACTAGGGGGAAATTTGAAGCCCTAACATATTACAGAGATACTTTTAATGAAGACTCAACAAACGCATCCTAATTTTTAAGGCTAGCTAACACAGACTGGTTTGCTGAAAATGTAACCTCATTTAATTGTCCTTTCCCCAACTCCCGAAAAATCAAGAAACTGAGATACAGACTACAGTCACTAAGCACTACATAGCTGATGTGCAAATTCCTTCCTCCCCATCTCCATCCCCTTGCCTATTTGCACCCTCCTTACTTATTTAAATGTTCATGTAGTTTTGTCAGCTCTTTAGATAGCAGTCTTTCATTCCATGTTAAAGCACCTAGCCTTTTTGGGCTGAAGCTCACATGGGTGTCTTGCTTCATAGTGGTTCTAAAAGTGAAATTAAGCACTGCATTTGGCAGGTACAACCAAAAAAATTGTGTTTAACCATGACAATTGCATAGCTGCCCAGTTCAGCCAACTCAACTTTAAAACAATTACTCATTTGTGATTTAATTAAGAAGAAGGCATTCTTATCAATACAAGTTTGTTAGAATCCATTTTGCTTTGCAAATTCAATGAACAAAATGTAACTCGTCTAGAAATGAGGAAGGGGCTCTTTTCGCCATTGTGAGGTCAAATGGTGAAGTGATAATCAACACTTTTGCTTCCACTATGTGCAAGGAGGTTAAGATTTACATACCAGCAAACCAGCAGGGCCAGTGTTGGGAGATGTTTGATCTCAGTGAGAGTAGTAGTCATTCAGTGAAGACAAAAAAGGAGGATGCAGAGGATGGAGGTGGCAGTAGAAGAAACCCAAAGTTTTCTGTGTTATCCAACCCCTAACCAGACCACAAGAGAATCATGATCAGGGCCGCTGGAAAACCACAGATTCTTTAAAATCTATAGTTTTTTGCTAATTTCCAGTTTTCTGCATATGAAGTGTATATCTACTCTGCTATAAATTATGTTGCACGTAACACTAATACAGAGCTTTTTATGACATTTGCTCACAGCAGCTGGAGTTCGGAGACAAAGCAGCAGTTCTAAGAGTTCTATGTACTTTTCTTGCCAATTCAGAGCTCTTGATAGAAGCAGTCTAGAAGCAGCATAAATATACACTTGAAAACTGAAACCAATGACAGGAAAAAGATCAAAGAAGTGAATGCATGATAAGGAAAGTGGATGAAGTAAGGAGAAACTTCACTGTGTAACTCAATATGGAACTAAAAGCCTTAGAGCAGATATTTCAATACACATTAAATTCACGTAAGGGAAAATACTATTTTCAGGAAGTATATTCTCCTTGTGCAAAAAAAAACCCAATCACGTAGTGACAAAAAAAGTATTTTCTAGTAACCTCCATACTTCTTGGGGAACAGAAAGTTGGCATATATGTTTACAGTACCAACCACACGCAAAAATCCCTATTTCAAACACTACATGTATAAACCTTAAAATTTCATTATGCTTATAAAATCTGGAACACCAGAACCAAAAGACAGACGTTACCTCCTCCCTTTGCAGGCGTTCTGTGAAGAAAAGGATCCAACTAGTTTTTTTCCTCATAAAAGAATGTTCAAGAACAAGCTGATTTTTTTTCTCCTGTTTCAGAAGATCTTCCACGAAATTATTTCTACAATTTTCCTAATGGCTCTGATCATGATCACTAAGATAACCCTGGTTATGTAGCAACTAGATTCTCAAGTCTATATCTCACAGAGAACCATTACAGTGAAATCAGAAATACGGCACAGCAAACAGCATTCAAAGTTGAGAGATTAAAAAAAAAAAAAAGTAGTAATCAAGTCTACATACGCCTCCAGTTCTTGTTTCATCTTGGTGAATTCCTCTTTAGTCATCGATCCCTCTCCTTCTCCAAGTTTCTGCAATTTCTCCCTTGAGGCATCAAAGTCAGGCCTGGGTGGTGCTGGTGGAATCTGGAATTGGATCAATTTTTTTTTTTTTAATTGCTCATCTTCAGTTAAACAACATCCATTCAGTACAGGAACTGTAAATTGCCAGCAGCTTTTTAATATACGGCTCTCTCTTTCATGATTCATTACAGCATTCATGGATAAATTCTCTCATTCAGGAGTCAGACATGCTGCATTACTACAATTTTGACCAACTGTTCTTGAAGACAACTGAAGAATTAACTAATGGCTTCAGTAGTTTAATGACAACAGAAACCAAGTAATACCTAGCTTTCCCAATACCATGAATTAAAACTTGAAATAATTACTTTATAATTAGTTTTGGTTTAGCTTATTTGGTAAGGACTGTTTCTTGTTTGAAGGAAGAAAAAAATATTCTGGAATTGTTTTCACACCACACATTTACAATTCCCCAAAACTTTAAATCAAAAAACCAATTCCATGTTGTTTGCAGGCACTAGTTCTTTCTTGCTGCACTGTTGACATTAAAGATACATCTGTTGAAATAACAAAGCACACAGTAAACAAGTCTCTAGGTTAATCTTGTAATATAGTATATCAACATCGAAAGAGAAAACACCACAGTCCAACTAATCCTGAAATACTATCAGTAATGGGACACAGAACAAAACATGCCTAAATTTTAGTTCACTGATATTTGCCCATTACACTAATGCATTACCAAAAAAGAAAAATCCAGCATCTATACAGTCAACTGCCTGAAACTAGTTATTATCACACAGAAGGTCTAGTCATTTCAAATAGCTTTTCTGACCAAAATAAAAGACTAGCTCAAGAATGGTTTGACACAACACAGATTTTATTAATCATAACGTACCCACTAGTCACTTAGAAATACATGTTTACCTTCTGAATCAGTAGACTGCTCCCCAAACACAAAATGAATACCTAACTTTCACACCAAGATGACAAATATTCCTATTTGTAATTAAAGGTTGAACAGCAGCACCCATTTTTAATAGGCAGTATTGTAAGGTGACTATTTTGGGACCTCTGTTTGCCAGAGGCCTGAAATAAACTTCAAACCGTAAGTTGTTAAGCTGTGTATTAAGGTTCTCTGTAGTTCTAGATGGTATTTGCATTGTCTTTTTCCCCTCCAACTGACTTATGGTAAAATGATTCTGATCTTCATAATGAAAACTGTAAAAGTCTAATTACTACAGCTCAGTAACTGCACTCAGCCATTCCGGCTAAAACAAAGGCAACGTGAAACTTGTAAGTAAGTCAAACATTAGCTTGCAAAAACAAAACCACCAAGTTATACAGTTCACGTATCTCCCACACTTTTAACACCATGAACTAAAAATATATTTGGATACAGATTAAACTACTCACTCCCTAGAAGTGAAAGGCAAGAAAGTATGACAACTACAGTAACTTTCCTCCAAGCTTCCTCCAACCATTAATTCTGTGTAATTGCATAAAATGAAGTATTAGAGCTTCTGATGTGATTTTAGAAGGAATGAACATCTGCTGCTCCCATTGCATTTAAAAGTACTCACAAGTACTTTTGATACAGTCCACATAAACCAAAAGAATGGTAATACTTACGATATAGCCAGCATAGTCCTCATTCTCAACAAAAGAATCATGAAGCCAAATAAACTCTTCATGTTGCCGGACAACAGAAAACTCGTTTTGTTTGAAATTTGGTAAGGAACTCTAGAAGGGGAAAAAGAGGAAGAATTCTGAAAAAATAAAACCAAAAAAACCCCACACACCAAAAAACTAAAATGTTTTTCATTACTGTATGAAAAACACCTTGAAGGAACAAGAAAAATATCCCTGTAAAAATAATTAAACCATCCAAGTAAGGATTTGACAAAAAAAAAAGTTCATACAGCAATAATTACTCCCATCTTAATTAGCGCGGCAATCAATTGGAATAGGTTGCTCAAAGAGGTTGGGGAGTTTCAATCCTTGGAGATATTCAAAACACAGACAAGTCCTGAGCAATGTGCTCTGGTTCACTCTGATTTAATGGTACAAGCTGAGAAGGAGATGGGAATAAATGATCTCCAGAAACTTTATTCAACCTCAACTATTCTGTGATTCTGCGATCAATAAACATTCAAACCTAAAAAAAGAAAAGCCATAAACAAGCAGTAACGAAAAATGATTCCTGAATGTAATTCCATTATGAAATATATTTTTAGAATCTGAAACCATGGCTAATCTAATAAAAAATATACTGAAGAATATTGAGGTACATTAAACATTCTACCTGCAAATAGGCCAATCAGTATGCATGGGAATGGTGTGACAACACATCAGTACAAAAAACTGAACGTCACTTTTTCTAAACAGTTTTTTTAACTACTTAACTTTTTAGCCATCTTTTTCTTAAGCACTGCAGCTACCAGTTGCTTAAACATGAGATAACACTACTTTCTCATTTCCTTTGGATTGTGTTACACTTGTTTCAATAAACAGGTTTTTTTCTATATAATTAAGAAAACGTTCAGCGTACAAACCCAGGCTTTTACCTTTGTATGGACAGTGAATTTCACTTTGTCCCTCTCACTGAGCGCATCTGAGATATCCACTTGCAGAGCAGCATCAGTCTGGAGATCTACATTTATTGCTCTAAGCTAAACAAAGAAAAATCTATTTAGCTTAAATTAAAAAAAAGTTAATTATACTTCTCTTGAGAAGAACCCTGATCCTGCAATGCTGAACATCCTTAAAAGACTGAAGATAGATTACAAAAAAACCCCAACATTAAAAGATTATTTCCATCAGAAAAAGAAATTCCAGTAGTACTCATTATGGCACACATGACCATACAAATAATTTCTTTTACTGTAGTCCTTGTTAGTGCACTATTGTAATTTCTGTGTATTGTTAACTTGCTGCTAATTGAGATGATCAAGACACAGTATATCTACAGACAGCAACAAGCTCAGTAGCTTTTTCTCTTCATTCCCCCCATTTCACCGAACAACCTGCTGTAAGTAAACGTACTTGTAAAGGTAATTATAAAGGTACTTAACAGTTGGAAAGGTACTTTTAAGGAGAAAAGCAGTCCTATATTTCAAAGAAGCAAGAGCTATTAAAAACCTAGTTTACTCATATTATCCTACACTATTCTTTTGTTTAACATTTCCCATGATATATTGAAAAAGCTTAAAAATAAAAAATATCCTGAAATTCAGAGCTAAGTCTCCCTGGAAATATTTTTTGGGAAAAAAAAAAAAAAAACCAACAAACCAAACCAAAACAGCAAAACCACTAACAAATGAAAAAACTCAAACCCAAGACTTCAGCCTCTTCAAAACCAGCATGAGAAATGGCAAAAGTGCAAGGAAAGTGCGTAATTTTTTCCACAAGTGGTGAAACCTGAGCTCTCTCACAAAATAATTCTGAAGTCACAGTGAAAAGAAAATGAGAAAATTATCAAATATAGAAAAACTGAAGATTATCTGAGCACTGCAATGTTTGGCAGTAACTGAACCAAAGGCTTTAACAGTACTTGGTGAAACTATAACCTCCTCTAGACCCCAACTTAAAATCCAAGTCCCCTCACCCTTGCATCCTTGTTGTTCCAGAGCAATTTGTTCCACAACAATTTAATCATCATCATGATCAACAGACATTCAGAATATTTTTACAAGTACTAAGACTAACTTGGAAATCTTCTCCAATAACACCGTCAAAAAACATTTCAACATCATGTTCGTGAGGCTTACTTTTTACTGAGACACCGTTTTTTCTTTGATGCTGCTTTTTTTCTAGAAATATCACACTCTCCAGGATAAAAATGCTTTGCCATACAAAGATATAGACTTTTTCCCACAAAACTTTTCAGCACTGCATTTTGAAGTCCGTACTCATGTACAAAAACGCTTTAAGTATCAGCAACACACACCACACAGGTTACACACTAGCAGATTTTGAAGGTAACGCTGCAAGGCACTGGAGCAGCACTAGAAGAGAAGCATCAACTGCCACATCTTGTTTTCCAGCAGTTACCTTAATCCTTATCTTAAATCACAGTGTGGTCAGCTCCCACTCTAGTTTTCTTGTTAACTTCACTGCACGGACAACTCTGCAGCTTACATAGCAGCGACCAGACTAATATATCTTAGAATTAGTGTTTTAACGTAAACCAAAATCGTACAGTCCAGCATATTCTGCTAGGTTAGCAAAATATAACATTTCAATGGCTATTACACAAATAGCAACAGCTTATCCTCACAGTAAATTTGGAAATCATTAAAACCACTGCACAGTAACACATTCACACATGTGATTCAGGCATCCCTTTTTGTTTTGTTTTCCCAAGGTTTAGGGGGTCACTGCCTCACACAACGGCATATTATCATGCAACGATCCAATGCAAATCACTTCTCAGAGGCAGAATCTCCTAGCTCCTACTGAGTTTCCAACGTGCTTAACATCTAATTTAGGAAAGAAAAATATAATCGGACATACCAATGTCTGCCTTATGTCATGACACTACATTTTTCAGCTAGTAAAAAAGTTTTTAGTGGTTACATTGTCTGGGGTACCGTTTGTTTTCCTCCAGTCCCCCAGAATACATTAACAAACAGAGTAACCTCAGCAGATAATATGGATTATCCAAATGGTATTTATGTAGTCCTTCACAGGTAAAAAATTTCTACCAAAATGCTTTTTTTCCTCCTTTTTTAAAAAAGTGGTGCAATACAAGATTTGAAGATTCAGTATAACAGCTGTTGGAGTTTGTCACTGGCACGTACGCAGCCCCCAGTGCAGTGCACCCTGGCCACACGCACTATTCACAACTTGAGAAACAAAACACTTCTCTGTGCTGAGAAAATTAAGAACTACCTAAACATTACAACTTCGCTCATGACACACAGCTGAAAAGGACTATTTGTTTGATTTATACTGTGTTAAGTTTGTAACAGTTTTGAAGAGTTTAATCATATGTTAAATTATGCTGCGTAGCCTGACTGCCAACAGGGAACATTTTCATCTGCACTGGTAATGAAGCGTTTATGAAAGGTGTCAAAGACAATCAGAAAGTTGAAGAACTCTAAATGTATTCATGTGACACAATGGTTCACATTACATTACTGGGAATTAAATTCACAAACAACGTCATCACACAACAAACTTAAGCAATCTCTTCATCACTACTTTCAAAAGAAAACCGCCACCAATGGATGGCCTTCTAGAAGAAGGGAGTAGAAAACAAAAGAAAAATAAAATGCTACAAAACCTGGAATGTAAGTACCTTAAACTCTGGAAAAAAGAGAGGTGGCATACAGTCCCACTGTATTTCGACCCCCCCCCCCCCCCAGTCTAGTACACACAACATAGCACAATAATTTTATGCTTAGATACATGCTCTACACCCATGCTGAACAACTTGCAAAACAAAAGCTAACTTAGTTTAGCTGCTTTACAGTTTTCCACGCTATACCAAGAAAGTCCGTTTTATTCAAAGGTCCTAGAAAATACCAGAAGACAAAATCAGGGCCAAGCAATGTTACAGTACTAAAAGAGAACACAATGCAAGGAGAGGATTTAGCACCTAAGCTCTTGCTCAAGGATCAGTTATACTTCAAATGATAATGGAAGGAAACTGGTAGAGACAATGGAAACAACCAAACCTTACATTCCTAGGTAATGTTATCCTTTAACAACTGTAACTACTCTAAGCTTTTTCAAAAACGTCAGAGAAAAAGGCTGCTTTCTTCGGCAGGTTCTTTACAGGCAGATAAACACACAGAGCAAGGGAAACAAACAATCCTTTTGCAACAAAAGATTACAAAGTGCCACCACAGCACCAAGTTTCTAGCAGACTTGTTCTAAGGGATAGCTCATTTCCCCTAAATGGGCAGACAAGAGCATTAGCCAAGTTGCCTAAAGTTTGCATAGGTATATAGTACACAAGACAACACCAGTAGCACAATACTATCCCACCTTTCAAAGTATGTATTGTTTACGTTAGAGAGACCACAAAAAAAAACCCCAACAGGAACTGAGTTACTCCAAATGAACTCAATAGTATTTTCCTAAGCGAGATTCAGAAAAGCAATTACCGCAAGTTCGTTTTATGCAGACCATTTATAATAAGTTCCTTCTACAGACCACCCACTGTTACTTCCTCAAAGAGGATTCTCAGTGCTCTGTTTTACAATTCTCTGGAAAAGGCTCCACATGGTTTAACATAGTAGTTTCAGAATTACTGTTCTATGTGGCATCAGCATAATTTCCAGCCCTCTTTTCATCCCATAACCCCCACATTAAACTTAACACAACCGTAGCTGACCAACATGATTCTGAAGAATTAAAAGTACAGTTGTCATAGTGATATTTGAATTCTAGAGAGGGAAGAGTACAGATTTTCAAAACTAAAAGCACAATTACTCTAACCAGAAGTTGCCATGTTTGCTCTCAAATAAAGGCTTGACCTACTCTTTTTTTAAATTGCAAACAGAGGAAGACAACAAATCAGAATCAGGGAAACACTTTATGAAAAGCTGTTTATTTTTACTACTGCTAGTAAGAAAAAAAAATCGTGGTTTTGAAGATTAAAGCACAGCAAATCCATTCATGAACAGACTGACAGTATTGCCTTTGATTAGATTTTCTGTATCACAATCAAAATCATGCAGATAACTACCTGTGTTTTAACCCCAGGGATTTACATAGCAGTGAAAAAATTAAAACCCCAGCGACTGAAACTAAGAAATCTAAAAAAAATAGGGAAAGGAGAAGAAGATAGCTCTGGTTTAATTCCTCAGTGCTGGATGAAGATGGGGGAGGGGAAAAAAAAGAAAAGAAAAAAAAAAAAGATTGCACTTGGCCAACGGAGATGATGTAAGTTGTCCAACAGCACGAACGAGACTGCTAAGAGATTTCTTAAGGCTTTCAAATTACCTTGTGAACTCTTGACTACCTGTAGCCTTAAAAGGAAAACTAATAACCAAACAAACACACAAGTTTCACATGGGATCAGATCTGCACTGTTATGTTCTACCTGCACCTTCAGATAAAGACAACTTAACTGTGCACTTAATTGTCTGTTCCTAAATAGCAGTGACAATCTATGTAAAACACAACTCCGTAATTAGCAAGTTTTTCAGTCCTTGTTCTGAAGGCACTCAAAGGACAACAATTTCCACCTTCTCTCTTTTTCATCCAGTATTCTGACTAAAGTAGCTGCATAATTAAAGGCAAAAGCTCTACAGTGGCCAGAATTGGCCTAATACAGTATCAGAATTCCGTTTTTAATTTCTGGTCATGAACCAGAACATAAAATGCACTGAAGTCCTACCACATGTATATAGTAAAAAATCGCTTAGTACTCAACATTATGTTTGACACTTGACAAAAGGGTAGAGCAACACAGTGGTTTTCAGATTTTGTATTTTTAGTAATATACTGGATGTAGCCACTTTAATAATCAGCAACAGCCAAGGCAACCTAAGCAACCCACAAGCTGCTCTCCTACTTGCTCAGAGTCGATCCTTCTCAAGATACTAACCGATAGGGGTAATCAGTCTGAGCAAGTTATCCTAGATTAGCCGATTTGTTGCTTAAGTGAGGCAGGCAAGTTAAAGAAAGACGGATGCAGCAGTTCGAAGAGAAACGAAGGCCAGAAACAGCAGGACAGAGAAAAAAGGTTTTCTCAGTAAGAAACATAATCGCAGCATCCTGTCCCAACAACAGAACTTCTTTTCAATAAAGAGTTTATTATGCAGCATGCGCCTGCAACGTAAACGCCTCATTGTTATCTATGGGAGAGCCTCTAGGGCCCAGAGATTGCTGAGAGGGGAAGGCTGCTTCACTTAGGCCCTGGCTCACCAGGATTGAAAATGGAACCTGGTGCTCTCCGCAAGGCCGGTCAACCTGGGCAGGACCACGGCACAAGGTGGGTGTGTGCCGGGGGAGGGGGGCACGTATCAGCGCAGGGAAGGACACAGAGGGATAACAGGAATCTCCAGCAACACGCACAACCCCCTCTGCAAGCTATTCCAACAAAAGCATGAAAGAACTGCCCTTCCAAAACTTGGGTGACAGAACAATGCAAAATTTCACGGCAAAACAGGCGCACACAGAGACTGATTTCAGAGGGAAGCTGTGCTATTCCCACGTTAGCAGACCCCGGCAGGCAAACAGCC